AAAAAAATCAAAATATTGAGAAAATCGCCTTTAAAGTTGTCCAAATGAGAAGTCCTTAGCAATGCATATTACTAATCAAAAATTAAGTTTTGATATATTTACGGTAGGACATTTACAAAATATCTTCATGGAACATGATCTTTACTCAATATCCTAATCATTTTTGGCATAAAATAAAAATCTATCATTTTGACCTATACGATGTATTTTTGGCTATTGCTACAAATATACCCCAGCGACTTAAGACTGCTTTTGTGCTCCAGGGTCACATATCTATGTACTCTGTTTGTGTGCTGTCCAGGCCTCAGCTGCTGGTGCTGCTCAATCTGGACTCTGAGCTGTCGGTGAAACACCCTCGTCTCCTGTCCTTCACCACGCAGCTGAAAGCAGGCAAAGGTCTGACCATCGTGGGCTCGGTGCTGGAGGGCACGTACCTCACCAGAGAGAGCGACGGCAAAAGAGCAGAACAGGCATGAACATGACACAGACATCCACAAACATGAGGGATTCCTCAAATAAAGGACTTTTACTGCTTGAAAACGTGATCTTTTAGGTGAAAAATTACATTAGCCTCACACTTGGACAGCAGATTTTGGAACAGCAATTATTTAGTAAATTAAAAATTATTTCATGGAAAATATCCCTGATTTAATTTTTTTAAAATAGGTTCTGAGTATAGAATACATTTAACATTTTAGCACTCATAAAAATGAGTAATTAAAAAGACTGATGATTATTATCTACTTATTATTATTATAATGATTTATTGTTGCTTCATAATATTTTTATTATTTATGGTTTTTATTTTTGTTGTTGTTAGTTTATTTAACACATATAATAATTTAATTTATTTATATAATTTATATAATTTTAAAACATGTTTTAAAACATCTTCTCTTTAATACTAATAACTGATTGTTTTTGTGAAGGTATTTCTGCAAAAGGGGACAAAAAGATTAATCTCTAATTGATGAATCACACTTTTCATAAATTTATAATGCATTTATTTATAGATTCTGAGTAGAGAAATTCTGGCCAGTTTAACTTTTCTGCACTCTTAAAAACAAGAAAGAATTAGTTTAAAGAGACAACAATAAGTTTAAAGTGATTATCTATGTAATTTTTATAATTTATTATTTTGCATATTACTGAATTATATTATTATTTTTTATTGTTTTTTGTTATTAATTTAATACATTAATATATTTTTGTTTATATTAACTTTAATAAGAGTTTACTAAGGGTCACAATAATAAGAGTTTAAATCTCTTATAGCTTGAATCACAGATTGTTTTTTGTAAACATATTTGGTCTTTAAAATCATCCAAGGGGAAAAAAGTTCCACTAAAAGAAGAATCACTCTTATGTAAAGCGATTACGGACTGATTTGCAGCATACACAGTACAAACAGTCAATGACAAAATGTCAAGGCAGTTTCTGTCCTCAGATAAACTGTGTGAACAGAGTGAAGCACAGCAGGATCTCATACTGACACCTAGCGGCCGCAGAGAGAACCGATCATTCCAAACTCCACTTTATGAAGGCTTAATGTTAGAAAAATGGCAGATATGAGGCATTTTGTTCACATAAAGATTTTATTTACCACTGTAGAGCATCAAATCAGCCATGGCGGCAGAGAAGACGAAGGGTTTCTGTCATGTTGTGGTGTCGTCAAACCTGCGCGACGGCTTCTCTCACCTCATCCAGTCAGCGGGACTCGGAGGAATGAAGCACAACTCTGTTCTGATGGCTTGGCCCGCGAGCTGGAGACAATCCAACGACCCGCAGTCCTGGAAGAACTTCATAGGTTTGAGTCTGACTTTATATCTGAACCGTGCTGCCGTGACTCATTTAAAGAGAAAGAAACCTCGACAAACGTAAAGATACGATCTGTTCTTCCACAGAAACCGTCCGAGAGACCACTGCCGCCCATCAGGCCCTGCTGGTGGCCAAGAACGTGGACAGTTTCCCTCACCAGGAGCGTCTCGCTGAAGGAACCATCGACGTGTGGTGGATCGTTCATGACGGCGGCTTGTTGATGCTCCTGCCGTTCTTACTGCAGCAGCACAAGGTACGGCCCTTTAAATCACAACTTTAAATGAGGTTAGAGGAACGTCCCTAATGTGTGTTTTCATGCTCTTCTCAGGTGTGGAGGAAGTGCAAGATGCGCATTTTCACAGTGGCTCAGTTGGATGACAACAGCATCCAGATGAAGAAAGACCTGCAGATGTTCCTCTACCACCTCCGTCTGAATGCTGAGGTGGAGGTCGTGGAAATGGTGAGGAGATGCTTCTTCTTGACATAACGATCTAAAGTTGGTTTTGTTGTGCTGCAGGACTGCATGATTTTTGCCTGGATTACAGAGCCAGAAGACGAGTAGATCATCGCTCACGTCCTTTATGCTGATTTATGTGTTCATAGCATTAGTGTTAGCTCCGCCCTTCAGAAACCTCTTCCCATCATGCATGTGTCATGCATGATCAGTGATATCATCATGTCATGCACCACCATCTTTCAGCACTTGTGACCCCACGTGAATGTGAATGCCCCCCTTTCCTTTCATTCCCTCATGTTTCTCTGAATTTAGTTTTACCTGTAAATAATAATAAATAATGAATACTTTATTTGCAATTTTTATTTATTTATTTTAGATTTATTTCCATTTTTTGATTCCATCATGTCTCTAAATAAATATATAAATGATAAATAAATTATTTATTTATTTTAACATATTATTTTTATTTATTTATGTTTCTCTATATTTAGTTAAAAAAAATATTTAAATAAATAACTTTTATTTTTATTTTTTCCCTTTCATTCCCTCATGTTTCTTTGTATTTAGTTTTAACTATAAATAATAATAAATAATGAATACTTTATTTGATGTGTCATGCATGATCAGTGATATCATCATGTCATGCACCACCATCTTTCAGCACTTGTGACCCCACGTGAATGTGAATGCCCCCCTTTCCTTTCATTCCCTCATGTTTCTCTGAATTTAGTTTTACCTGTAAATAATAATAAATAATGAATACTTTATTTGCAATTTTTTTTATTGATTTATTTTATATTTATTTCTATTTATCCTTTCATTCCATCATGTTTCTAAATAAATATATAAAAGATAAATAAGTACTTTGTTTATTTATTTATTTTATATTTATTAGGATTTTTCATATTTTTTCTCCTTTCATTTCTCTCATGTTTCTCTATATTTAGTTTTAAAAATAAATAATTAAATGTGTTTATTTATTTTAATTTATTTTATTTTATATTTATAAATTTATTTTTATATTTTTTTCTCCTTTCATTCCCTCGTGTTCATCTATATTTAGTTTTAAAAATAAATAATTAAATAAACTGTTGATTTATTTATTTATTTATTTTTATGTTTTTCATTACATTTCCTTGTGTTTCTCTGCTTATATTTTCTTACTATAAATAAGTTTTTATTTATTTATCTTTTTTTATTTATTTATTGCAATTCTTACATTACTTGTTTTTATGAATGGTTTATACTGCATGTCAGCATATTACAGACTAATATAGCTGCATGTATGCAGTTTGCATAGCAGACAAACTAAAACATTAATCTGACATACTCTGCTTGAATATAGATCTCAGTGCGCACAGAAATTATATTTAATGACATTAATTTATCATTGTAAACATTATTACACTACATTAAAGGCCTTTTGTGCTCTTAACTGTATGTGAAAAACATTTAAATATCTTTGATATAGATGCATTTGATAATTTAAGAAGCAGTTTGTAGACAAATATAAAATTAAAATAAGTCATTGTTTTTACGAATTTAATGTGTGATCGTGATAACGCCACAGGCTCAGCTGATCCACGACAGAAACACGGCGTCTCACGCGGCTCTAAGCGACAAGACGGACGCCACGCCGGAGCGAGTCCACATGACCTGGACCAAAGACAAGTTCTGCACCGAACGAAACCGCAACCGAGAGCCCAACGCAAGCGTGGCTGTGCGAGACCTGTTCAACATGAAACCGTAAGTCACCTGAACACACACTGACTCTGTAACGTTTGCTGCTTTGTGGTTTTACTGCTTCAAGCGCTCACGGTCACAGTTTGACTGGGTTGCATGTTCAAACACGAGCCCAGAGCCTGCTGCTGTTTCAGGACACGGTCTGCATGGTTTGTGCTGTCGTCACATCTGCATGACCACAGTGTGTCATCATGTGTAACGCTCACGCGTCCACCATGTGTCTCTTCATAGATTCATATCTGGCCAGGAGTTTTTGGTCTTTATATAATACCGGTATGTGACCCTGGACCACAAAACCAGTCATAAGGGTCAATTTTTCAGAAACTGAGATGTATACATCATCTGAAAACTGAATAAATAAGCTTTCCATTGATGTATGGTTTGTTAGGATAGGACAATATTTGGACGAGATACAACTATTTGAAAATCTGGAATCTGAGCGTGCAAAAAAATCTAAATACTGAGAAAATCTTTAAAGTTGTCCAAATGAAGTTCTTAGCAATGCATATTACTAATCAAAAATTAAGTTTGGATATATTTACGGTAGGACATTTACAAAATATCTTCATGGAACATGATCTTTACTTAATATCCTAATGATTTTTGGCATAAAAGAAAAATCAATAATTTTGACCCATACAATGTATTTTTGGCTATTGCTACAAATATACCCCAGCGACTTAACACTGCTTTTGTGCTGCAGGGTCACATATGATCTAAAGGTTAATGTAAGTCTATCCTGAACGTCATTTTGTCAAGATTCTCTTTTCCTATTATTTATTTCAGAAGAATCATCTCAAATAACATGCTGGACAAACAAACACTATAATATGAAAAGCTGTCACCAATATAGACGCTATTGCTCAGAGAGATTTCTGTGATGGTTTTCATCTCTCAGTGTGGGTGTTTAAGCCTGTCTCTGTTGTTCTGTCCTGTTTTCCTCCTTCTAGCGAATGGGAGAGTCTGTAAGTCACATTTCTCTGTACTGTAGCTGTCTGTCTGTCTGTCTGTAGGTGTATATTAGCCGTCCCATCACAAACCCTGCAGCACACTGGATTATTCAAGCATATACGTGTTTATATGAGCTTCAACGTGTGTGTGTGTGAGTGTGTGTGAGAGAGCGAGAGAGAGTGTGTGTGTTTACTATTAAAAAAAAAACTAATTATTATATTTTATTATAAAAATGTATTTTATTATTATAAAATAAGTTTAATATTATTACAAAATGACAAGCATGGTTATTATTATAGAAATTGTATTATTAAAAATATTATTATAAAATAATGTATTATT